GGTTCTTGGAAATAGCAATAACAATAGCACTTAGATTTATATACTGCTTCATAGTGCTTTACAGCACTCTCTGGGTAGTTTACAGAGTCAGCATATTACCCCCAGCAATCTGGGTCATCCAACACTTTTGCATAAGCTAGAATCTACTTATTATGAATCAACATAGGCCCCTGCCAGTTATCTTAGCCAGTTGGAGATGCTGAACCATTGGGACCATTTTCAGTTGAACAGTGCCATGTGCTTCCATTGGGATCCCTGCACTGCAAATGTAACAAGGATGCCATTGATTGAAAAACTCTGTCCTTGTGGCTCTGGAGAGATGGAGATCACTGGACACATATTCATTCAATGCTTTTTTTATAGAGATATTAAAAAAACTTTTCCTCCCAATAATCGATAGGTATCCTCGCCATTCCAGCACTACCTATCTGCAGTAGCTGCTTAAGGATGAATAGACTGTGATTATAGCATGGATGGATAGATTCTGTGCAGCACCACTGGGGATTTGTCAGAAACATATAATTAATTCATCCTAACTATTTTAACCAATTAATGCAACAAACCCTTTTGCATTATCACTCTCTTGCATTTTAGTATTTAATGACTAAGGGCCTCCAGTTTAAGTATTGAAATTATATTATAGTTAGGCAATGCTGTGTTTTGCTTTTGTGCAACTGACAGATTGATTTTAATATAGATTTTATCTTTTATTTATTATTTTATTCTAGAATTTATTCTAGAATTTTTAACTGGGTATTCCTTGAATGTTTTTAACTTGCTCTGGTTTTTTGGCCTTTGACTGTAATAACATTGACACTGAAATAATATAGAAAGGAGTGAATCAGACAGATGAGAAAAAAACTAAAGGAAGAATGTACTGGGAGGGGGAATGATGAATTAGCTTATTCAAAAATATTTCATTCATAAGTAAAAGAACAAGAAATGTCATTGTTAAATATATATTAATTTGCTTATGACCACAGTTTGCCCTCTGAGAGTTCTAGATATCAGTCTTACTAGTCACACAAATCTAGGGTGAAATCTCTGAATAAATATGAATATGAATAAATTGAATAATATAAAAAGTGGAAAGAGGGGCAAATAACTAAGGCAGAATATCAGCAAATAGCCCGAGCCTGCAAAGGTGAAGTGAGGAAAGCTAAGGCTCAAAATGAACTAAGGCTTGCGACCAAAGTCAAAAATAACAAAAAAAGCTTTTTCAACATGTAAAAAACAAGAAAAAAGTTAAGGAGATGATTGATCCATTAGTGAGGGAAAGTGGCAAGAAGGTGACAAGCAACAGGGAGAAAGCAGAACTATTTAACTCATTTTTTGCATCTGTCTTTACACAAAGGGAAAAAAGCAGCCCAACCTATCAAAAATAATTCCATAAAAAACAGAAGAGAAACACAAATTAAGATAGGCAAGAAAATGGTAAGTGAGCACCTGTCCATCCTAGACAAGTTCAAATCATCAGAACCAGATGGATTATACCCCAAGGTTCTGAAGGAACTGGCAGATATGATCTCAGAACCACTGAACTATATTTTTCAAAGATCCTGGAGCACTGGGGAACTACCAGAGGACTGGAAAAGAGCTGATGTAGTTGCCATCTTCAAAAAAGGGAAAACAAATGGAACCAGGAAATTATAGACCTATCAGCCTAAGTTTTAAAGAAGAGATTGGACAGCCATTTTTTTGAAATGGTATAGACTAGAGTTTCCTGCCTGAGCAGGGAGTTGGACTAGATGATCTCCAAGGTCCCTTCTAACTTTATTATTATTATTATTATTATTATTATTATTATTATTATTATTATTATTATTATTATTATTATTTATTATGGATCATCGCACAGTTAGCCAAATGTTCAGACTGGATTTGGCATTTTGTCTACCTATCGAGTCCTTACCCAGGACCTGGGATAGGCAGATATGGATGTTTGATGGTATTACAGATATCATCGCAAGATGGAAGCAGTTCCTAGTAAGGTCGCCTTTTGCAATTGACTAATGGCAAATTTGTCAATGCCAATGGTGTTCAAGTGGTGCTCCAGTTGTTTTGGGATTGCACCCAAGGCGCCTATGACTATTGGTACTATCCTTGCTTGCTTTTTCCACAGTCTTTCTATTTCTATTTGTAGGTTTTTGTATTTTGTTATCTTCTCCAGTTCTTTCTTGTCTATTCTGCTGTCTCCAGGCACTGCCACGTCCACTATCCAGACTTTTTTGTCTTTCTTATCAACAATTGTTAAGTCCGGGGTGTTATGTTGCAGGTGCTTGTCTGTTTGAATTCTAAAGTCCCAGAGCATCATCATCATCATCATCATTTTGGATCATCGCACAGTCAGCCAGATGTTCAGACTGGATTTGGCATTTTGTCTACCTATCGAGTCCTTACCCAGGACCTGGGATAGGCAAAGTGGATATTTGATGGTATTATAGATATTGTCACAGGATGGAAGCAGTTCCTGCGTCCACTATCCAGACATTTTTGTCTTTCTTATCGACAATTGTTAAGTTAATTATTATTATTATTATTATTATTATTATTATTATTATTATTATTATTATTTATAGAAAGTCATAGAAAATGATAAAATTAAACTGCTCTGGGACTTCAGAATTCAAACAGATAAGCACCTGCAACATAACACCCTGGACTTAACAATTGTCAATAAGAAAGATAAAAGAGTCTAGATAGTGGACATGGCAGTGCCTGGAGACAACAGAATAGACAAGAAAGAACTGAACAAGATAACAAAATACAAAGACCTACAAATAGAAATAGAAAGACTGTGGCAAAGGCAAGCAAGGGTAGTAGTACCAATAGTAATAGGCGTCTTGGGTGCAATCCCAAAACAACTGGAGCACCACTTGGCATTGACAAATTCGCCATTTGCAAAAGGCGGCCTTACTAGGAATTGTTTTCACCCTACGACAATATCTGTAATAACATCAAACATCCACATCTGCCTATCCCAGGTCCTTGGTAAGGACTCGATAAGAAGACAAAAATGCCAAATCCAGTCTGAACATCTGACTGACTGTGCGATGATCCTTAATAATAATAATAATAATAATAATAATAAAAAACACAGACATCAGTAACAAATTATAATGCTTCACTTCAAAACTAGAATATATATTTTTATATCATAACCAAAATGAGGGACATTCAACTTCATGTTGTATGGCTGGGACATTTTTATGAAAGTCTTGGACCCTACCCTTTTTCCCCAAGAAATTCAAACCAGAGATTTATATCTACAGTATATTTCATTGTGCAGACACTGTTAATGGACTATAACACTGAAATGTAAACAAGTCAGAGAAATCAAGCAAATTCACTAGCTAATGACAACTACTGGCAATGAAAATAATACAAAATAATGTCTTACTCCAAATCTATCACTTTCTTAATTAACATACAACTACTTTCAACATATCACATACACATTACATTATGTTTCATGCTGCCATCAGACACTCCAGTTCTTAAATTATGTCTTATTAAAGAAATACTTGTTGTGCTGAAGGTATTTTTCAGCCCTAAGTCCTTATCTTTACAACTCACAAGAAATGAAGAAACCTATATAATTCATATCTCATGTTGTCTTCCTTTTCAAATAACAAAGTGGATTGGGATTTATGACCTAATTTTGTTTTATGGTAAGTATCTATTGCCTGAAGTATAACATTCAGTTTGTGTCATCTGTAGTGAAACATAAAAATCACTGGATACTAGGCAGGATAAACAATTTCCTTTATTTTGGAAAGACAGAAGTTCATATATCAACTCTTATAAAATGGTGGTAAGAATAGTCATATCTGGAGATATGACTATTACTAAGCCCATGAATATACAAACATTCTTATTCCTGATAACTATCATAAGCATTGGACCAAAGGACTAATTAGACAAGACAGAGTAAGACTGCTTGCCTTTGCTAATTCAAGGAAGACAAACCCACTCCCCAGCCTATCACTTCATCTCCGATGTGTGTTGTTTATGATGTATACTATGTGAAGCAAATTACTATGTTCTGTAAACTGTGATAATGGTTTACTGTGATTTTTTTTAATGTAAAGGTTCCATCCTGACTTCATAAATGAATACATTATTTTATTTTGCCCCAAAGATGAAGATTCCTGATTTATTAAACTGATTGATATATATGTTCCCACGCCACTGTTTATATAAGGAAAAAGTGGCATTTTTGCAGAAAGAAATAACTTAAGAACTTTAAAGTAAGAACTTCAAAAATATAACAATAGAACACAAATACACACCTTCAGGTAGACCTCTTCCCACTGCCTCCACAATAGATTGTTGTAATTAAACTTCTGCTCACATAAACAAACCAAGAAAGGATGTAAAAGTAATGAGCTGACAACCTGGTGTGTATTATGTTTGGCTTCTAAGAGAATTTAATTTGAAGAAGAATTATGCACAAGCTGAAAGCTTAAAGCAACCTAACTATCTGGAAAGAGATAAAACAACAACAAAAAAAATGTGTTCTACCTCCTGTGAAATAAATAGCAATGTTTCTTTCACCTTGTGGCTTTAGCACCTTTGCAGACAAGAACATCTGGATAGGAAAGAATGCCAGTTCTTCAGAAGTGAAGAGGAAAGCTTGCCGAAGTCTAGTGTGCAGAGTGTATGAAAAGAATCGCTTCTCAAGAGGGCTTCATGCCCTGGCAGATGTGGCCATCTCAATGCCACACAGGTCCTTAAAGATCACAGTGAAATTATGATCATAAAAGAGCTGAGGATAGAAAGAGGACAACAAAAGTTACTGTTTCTTTACTAAGAGAAGCACCTTGAGACTTCAGAATTTCATGCAGTATATATAAGTCTTAGGTGTGACTCCCAGTACACCTTCAAAAGTAGGCAGCAAAATGTGATTGAAGGAAAAAAACAAATACATGGAATATAAATGTTTTAAAGTTTTAAACAACTTGGAATTAAATCAAATGTTGTCCACTTTTGTCTCCTAGACCTGACTGTTTCAAGTATCAAACATCAAGAAGGAGAAGGAGAAGAGCAGCAGCAACAACAACAATCTTCAGGCTCTCCCAATTCTTCACTCCTATTCTAATGATTGGTGTGAAGAATTGCAGAAGTATGGAGTCTTAGAATGCCTAAACCAACTTTTTGGACACAAGAATCTCTCTGAAGAATTTTTTTTCTTGTCTGAGAAGGGGGCTTTCTCCAAACTGTTGCAGAATTTCTCCCCAGTGGCATACCAAGTGTGAATCAGTGGGAACAATCCATCCCAGATGCAGGCAATAAAGTGGAATAAAGAATTTAAAAATCAAATTGATTAAACGTTTTCCCCAAAGTTAATTGATTTCTGTACTATGAATCTTGATGCCATAAGTAAGATGGGTTTTGAGGAGAAACCATTCTCATTTAATGTCAGAATCTGAAAGCTCTGGTTATAAAAAAAAAGTGCATACAAAATATCTTATGGGAATTTTTTTTTAAAAAAATCCATGAATCTATTCAAACAAATAAATAAATAGGATATAATTACCTTCCAATCCCAACTTAAAATATGAAGTCAGCCAATTGACCTTGGGCCAGTCACTATCTGTCAGCCCTAGGAAATGGGCAATGGCAAATCACTTCTCAAAATATTGCAGGGATTAATCCAGGAATCAATACTGATTTGAAAGCAACAAACAAATAAGTACCTCCCAGAGGTAGTTTAAAGCGCACCTGACACAGATTCAGGCTGTTTTGACTATTTTCGGATCTATTCAACTCTCCAACCAGTACAAGCACAGGGTTGGAGCTCATAGAAAATTGCCAACCAATTGTTGGTCAATGAGTGGCCAAAATGAGTTTAGAGCAGATGAAAAATTATAAGAGGTGGACTAGAGCTTGCGGCTACTGTCTTAGTCTTTTGTGTTGGTCAAAAATTGCAATTCATAAAAGAAGTATGATTATTTTCTTTCAGTTACCTTTTATGAAATTGCTGGAGTTCTGGAATACTTGGCAACTGTATGTAATCAAGAATAAGGATGTGTCATATTTTTAACTATTGTTGGCTCTCTTTTCTTCTTGAATGAAAATCTGAAGACATCAAATCCTGATACTGTATGGTTTTGAGAGTAATTTGTGAACATAACAGGCATTCTGTGAGTCAATTGATGCATCTCAATTGCCTTTTATCATGCTTCCTATCTAAAAAACATTAACTCCTCTTCTTGTAAGAAAAACAAAACCAAAACCAAAATTAAAGCAAAACCTAATGAATTCTAGCAGAATCATTTGTTTTACATACTGGCAATAATCACAATTCTTCTACAGCAGAAACCATTAGAATAAATATGAATATATGAAATAAATCCAAAATACTTATCCTTTACTATCATATTTCAGAAACATGGACATCCAAAAGGATAGTTATCTGACCCTTTCTGGGCCTCTTCTTGTATTCTCAAACATGGCAGGAAAAAGGAGACTGTAAAACATTTACTGCTTCAAAAACTATTGTCACACATAATATTATCAACATAACAATAATCTCAGCTAGGGAGCTATATACGTTTAATCTTATGCCATTGTGATAAATGATTTAAGGGGCTCTCTGCTTGAATTTCATTAGCCAGACTTCAAATGTCAGTAAATTCATCACTAGATTATTGAAATGCACTCTTTACAGACCTATCCTTGAAGATAATACAAAAAATATAACCTTGCCGAATTCAGTCTCCAGGTTAGTCTACAAAACATTTAACTAGGGCCATGTTATACCAATCTTTAAATTACGAGTTTGGATACATGAAAACCATTATATCAAACTCACCATGGTGACCTTGTGCTAAGGGTATTCCAGCAGGAAAGTGCTGATTTCCATGAGAAAACACAATATAAATAATCCAGTTTGCAAGGAGGGAAAACCTGAGGGAGGTGGGTGATTCTTAGACTCTATAGGTATCTAACTGGTTTACTGAAGGACCATTTTTCCCATCTGGCCAAAAGGCATTATGCCTCCATGACCAGCTATGCTTTGTCTGCTAGAAAGACCAGAATTTCACCTGACAATCACTTGTGCTGACATTGCTTGGTAAGAAGAGTATATTTATGTCATGGAAGGCAAAGGGAGGGAAATCACAAGAACATAAATAAATAACAATCTTTAGGAGGAGAATAAGAATGCCAAGTGGAGGCTGCATTTTAATGTGCATAATTTGTGAAAAGATAAGTGATGTGGTTTGATTGTGTACTTTTACTTTCTAGTAAGGTATTAGTAAGGTATTATTTACTATCTAGTAAGGAAGGAGGACAGATATGGAAGTAATAACAATAGCATTTCGACTTCTACACCACTCCTTAGCACTTTATAGCATTTTCTGAGCAGTTTACAATGTAAGCATTATTTACATATTGCCCCCAACAAATTGGGTCCTTATTTTACTGGTTTTGGAAGGATGGAAGGATGAGTCAACCTTGAGCTTGTCAGGATCAAACTCCAGACTGTGGGCAAAGTTTGCCTGCGATGCTGCATTTTAACCATTGCATCACCACAGCAACAAGTTGAAGCCCCAAAATGTCCTTTTCCACAGAATTCTTCTATGAGGGCTTTGGGTGGTTTTAAATTTTAATAAATAAAAATTAATAAGGGTTGCATTTTAACAGACGAGGAGAGACAAGGTGGGAAATCTTCAGCAGAATTAAAAGTTGTTATGTAGCATAGGAATTTCAGAAACTGCATAGTTTTATCCTCTTCCTTAATACTCTAAATATCTTTGGGCTATCTGTTTCTTGCTCCCAAACCATTATGGCTTCCATTATTCTTGGATGGATCCTTTCTTAGAAGTCACTCAAACCCCAAAATGCATTTATTTCAGATGTTTGCAATCAGATTCAGCATAATTAAAGAAAGTATCCCACCTTCTCAAAAGTACTTGGGTGGAATTACAGGCCCTCCTTGTTACACTGAAAAATTTAAGCTCCAATTTTTTGCCTAATGATCTATGTCAGTATCTAGACTGCATTTTATTTCCAGTCAGAATCCCCAGGATTCCTCAGGATAGCTTTCTACACTCAGTCTGGCACTGAAGCAATTGAACATTCTGTTAGATCTTTAGCTTTCAGGTCATTCTCTTGTTTGTTATTAGCAAGAGATTAGAGGTTTAAGGTCTCTGTGTTTAATGGCCTCAGTGGGTGGAGAGCACAGCTCTAGCTGTGAAAATGACAAAAATCAATAGCTAATCCAGTGCATTCAGTCAACCTTTTCAAAGCCTCATCTGTATTGATTTCCAAGTGCTGCTCTTCTTGTCTCTTGACGTAATCAGCCTGTTTGGTTGGTAGATATACACTCTCTGGTGCCTTAATCATTTTCCTTTTCTTTCTCATGTTTAAATTTAGACTGCTTCACTCATTTGCTACTGGCATCTGAGAATAAAGATACAAGAGGCTAAAATGGCTTTAAACTAAATCCAGAGCCTTATTAAATAATTGCTTCAGTAATAGTAATAACTAATTGTGCTATTTCCCAGCCCCGTGTATGGATTCATTAGTATTACAAAGTGAAAACCATAGGATTATGAAGGGGGATAGTGTAAAGTCTTTTGGCTGGCTGATGAGCCAGTTTTGGAATGGAAGGTTATTGCTGAAGGCACATCTTCCCCATGCCCCTGGCTTCTAACTCTAGGCCTCTTATCAGAGTAAGTGTATTAATCATCTTATCCTTTCTAGAATGTTCATACATTGTATAAGGAGTAAACATGAGAACCTAGTTATCCATGCATATGGCATGAATGTTGGAGTAGAGAAGCGACATGCTTATATTAAAAAATCTGTTTACTTGCATAAGGGAACTTCAATATCAATGGTATGGGATGCAGGTAAAGCTTTCATGCGTGGGATTTTGATAAAAATGAATAATGTCTATAGACAAAAGCAGATTCAGAAACGTAAGGAACTGGAAGATGAGATTAAATTAAAAGAAAAGTCTTTGATTTTAAATCCTACAGATGAAAAGTTTAAAGAATCTATAAAGTTGTTAAAAACACAATTTAATATGTTGATGGCGGATCAAACCGCAACTAATTTATTGTTTATGAAACAAAATACATTTTGCAATGCTAATAAACCAGGGAGATGGTTGGCTTACCAATTAAGAAAGAAACAGAGACAGAGAATTATAGACAAAATAAATTATAATGGTAAATTAGTCTATCAGAAGGAGTTGATCAAGAAATCTTTTTTAGATTACTATCAAAAATTATATAAGAGTACTAATGTACAAACTTTAGATATAAATAATTATTTAAGTGAGGCCAACTTCCCTAAATTAACAGAAGATCAGAAACAAGAAATTAATGGTTTAATCACCAATGAGGAAATTGTGACAGTTATTAAGCAATTAAAATTAGGTAAAGCACCGGGTACAGATGGTTTGACATCCATTTATTATAAAACCTTGGTAGAAGAGATGATTCAACCTTTATGTGAGCTTTTTAATAATATACTACAGGGCTCAGAGATTCCTCCGTCATGGCGTAGAGCTTTTATATCTTTGATTCCAAAAGAGGATCAAGATCTCACTTTACCGAAGAATTATAGGCCCCATATCTCTTTTAAATGTAGATTATAAGATTTTTGCAAAAATTTTAGCTAATAGGCTTATGAGGGTTTTGCATCAGCTTATACATAAGGACCAATCGGGTTTTATAACTGGTAGGTATATGAAGAATAATGTTAGATAAATTATTAATTTATTAGAATATTTAGATAAGAATAACCAAATCTCCACAGGGCTGATATTTTTAGATGCTGAAAAAGCTTTTGATCAATTGAATTGGCAGTTTATGTTAAGATTAATTGAGGAAATGAATTTTGGAGAAAAAATATCACAAGCTTTTGGTGCTATATATCAAAAACAAATGGCACAACTTACTGTTAATGGGGGTTTGTCAGAGGTTTTTACAATAGAAAAAGGTACAAGACAGGGATGTCCATTGTCACCGTTACTGTTTGTTTTAACTCTGCAAATTTTGCTGATCAAAATTCAAGAGTCGCAGGAAATAAAAGGAATAGAAGTTAACAAAAAAGAATATAAATTAAGAGCTTTTGCAGATGACTTGGTGGTTACTTTGTCTCAACCTACCTATTCTGTAGTAAATTTATTACAACTGATTTACCAATATGGACGGGTTTCGGGTTTTAAAATTAATAACAATAAGACTAAAATATTATCTAAAAACATGACTAATTTGGATAAGCAGATTCTGGTTAATCTGACAGACTTTGAAGTTGTTGATAAGATAAAATATCTGGGGGTTACCCTATCTGTTTCTAA